CATCCAAATTTACTGACAATCCGCATAAGGATCTTCCGCAAAACGAAAACGAAATCACCTACAGCGCCATATACTATTTATAAGCCACATAAGCGTACTGGCACTGTGGTAATCGGCCCAAAAAGGCCTCTTGATTACCAAAAGCTTACCGATATCCAACAATCGTCGCTTACTATGACGTTAACTAATAATATTCTGCTTTAGACACATATTTAATCGCTCGGTATGATTTTTCGAACTTTCCTCATCGATTTAATTTTTTTATTTTCGATCGAAATATGCAGCATGATCATCGCACATGACCTCATGGCCATGTGCGATTTAAACGGTAACTCATTCCGTTGTTGCAGAACTCCGGGGTGAAAGAATTTATGAAGCATCGAAAGATGACATTGACACATGTTGAGATTTACATAATTTTTCCTTGTAAAATTATTGGGATTTAAAAAAACACCTCTACGAGCGATGTCTAAGGACTATAGTGGATGACGAACAGCGTCTGAGTATAAGTTTTCTCTATTTGCGGTATGTTGTGCGGCGATGGGAGTAATTTACCTCGGTTTACTAATCTTGGCTACTTAATGAAGAATGTTTTCATCATTTCCAATTGTTGGAGGTGCATTTCAACCGTAATCGTCGGAGCAGGACCAGCTACACTGGATAATATCTGCATTAAATCATCACACAAATACTACTGCTGCTTTTGAAGCTCTTTCAAGGATGACTTTTCGATAGTTCAATTGCATTCATCTACTGGTGTGATCATCTGGAAGGATCGTAGAAGATCCGTTTTGCATCACAAATCATAACTCAGTGTAGAACTATTGTAACGAAGGCCAACGAAAAGCACGCGTCCCCATGTCTGTATTTTCAGTCCTTGCTCAGGATATGCGGCGTCGATTTGTCCTATTTCTTTAGCCCAATCTGACCGAGATAAACAACTACGGCAAATTTATGTACACCAAAGCTGAGTGTTACCACCCGAGATGGGTCAGGACCTCAGCACTATTCACCTCCGCAAAGAATTGTACGCACGATTCCTTTTCGATTTCGGCCTTTTTTCGTTGGGTACTTTTCGAAGCAACGGTCTACGGTGCTTCTAATAGTAGAATCTTCACCGATTACAAAGGTTATATGACGAACTATTTCTGTCTCGCTAGTACCGATATCGAACTCATACTCGTCAACCGGTCAAATTTACCACTTTTTAAAAGCTCGAGTGACGCTACTCGAGTAAGGAGTCCTAGATCTAAAGTGCATTTAGTATAGAAAGGTGTTGTTATATGTCGCACCATATAACGTCATTTTGAAAGGAAATTGGCGCTTTTCATGCTAAAAAAAACCCAATACAACACAGACTTATTCAAGCTGGCCCGCTGATCTTTTATTTCTTTAATCTCTATTTCTTATTTATGGAGGGAGCAGCAACATGTTTATACCGCGGGTATTCTAATACCATCCGAATTCTTTCGACGATACTATACTACAAGCATATTGGAAAGGATAATAATACAATCTGTACATGTTCGAGATAGAATTCATAGACGGTTAACCATGATTCGCGTATTTACTATACATTAAACTTGAGCTGTATTATTCTGCGATTGATCATTGATTTAACTATATGGCATAATTATATTACTATAGAGATAACTTGCCTGCTTTAACTGTGTTGTTATGCAATTAGATCCATCTTATGTTGCAATAATTTGTACATTTCTCACTGTTTGATCAGATTCTTCAATACATTTTTGAATCGAGCCTAAACGACTCTCAAGGGCTTCGGTTAAGTTTTGTAGAAACACCATAATTTCTGGGCTCAATCCACTGTCTCACGTTCGTCAGATATCCTTTCGGACTCGATGACATATGGCTCTGCTATTAAATGTCTCTTAATTCTACCAGTCAGCTTGAGAATTGCAATCAAAATAAATCGACCATAAAGTGTTTAGTAAATATTATGGCTTAAAGCTTGCAGTTTTATTTATGTTACTTTGTAATTAGGTAGAAAGTGGTAATGTAAGCATGAAAATTCGGAGCAGCTATTTCTTCAAACTTCATCCCGTTAATTCCTTATAGCTGGGATGACAAAAACAATATTTTTAAACGAAGAAAAAAACTTCTGAACCTAATGACCTATTTATGAAACATAGTTTTCCAGTCGCGATATAACCCAACAAATCAAGCAGGCCTTCGTTCGGCCGCAAAGCGAACCAGGTGTCGATGAAGTAAACTCGATCTCTAACGAGACACTTACCAAAAGCAACTACAAAATGGCAGAAATTTCGTTTGTTACAAAAAGATTGAAACATTGCTTCTTCTTATAAAAAAAAAATATATATAAACCATCCTGTATGTACATTCTATTTTCTACTAACCCTATTGCGTTAAATAAACGGGCGGTACTATGCGAATCATGACGCAATATGTACGTATAGTTTAATTTGAATTATTTTTCCGCCTTCAACATGTCAAGGGTAAATGTAATTAATTTCATCATTACGCTAACGATATCGAAAAGGCTTCTTTAACAATGTCCTGTCACAGGGATATCAATGCAAAATATTTCAGCCACACGATAAACGTACAATATCGCTGTTGGTAAAGAAGCTAGCCTATTTATTAATTCACTTCATAACGGGTACCCAGATGTACAAGCTATTTTGGTAAATCCACCCGATGGTATAAGTAAATTGGAAAATATCACGCGCTATAGGCCTTCTGTTAGTTTGTTTGTCGCGGGAACTCTGATAATTGAGCACTAATTTTTAATTTACATTAACGGTTAACTAATAGGTGTTACGTGTTTGCAACTCGATTATTTCATTTAAAAGTTCCCTACCGTTGTGATACTGCTCATATTACTGATCGAACTAGTTCGTTCTAAGATACAAAATTCGAGCAAGAGCTAAGCTTAATCCTCACCGGCCCAGGGGTCGGACAATTCATGAAAATACTCTTGCTTTAAATCACCCCATACAATACTGGAGACATCGATATCTTCTTCTGGTTACTATTGCAAGTTTTCCCTTGTGGAGTGGCTAGCCATACGTTGCATGGCGATTGCAATAGATGAGCGCAGCAGAAGAAACATTAAAAAAATAGGACAGTAATTATCAAAGTAATGCTGTTAGTGATAGAACTCAAATATTTAGATGACGTCGTCTGTGGTGGCTGACTGTGCCGAAGAAAAAATTGGCAGTTGTTTGTATTGATTCTGAATTTACTTGTCTGTTATGTACTTTACAATTGGATAGAATATGAGCATCTTGTCAACAAGAATCGACTGTGCAGCAGGAGATCACGGTCAACAATTGTACTAATGGAAAAAATTGCTCCCGCTGTTGGCTCAAGTCAGGGCAAGCGTTAGCAAACTGATCGAACGAGTATCATGAGCAAGCAGGTATTTGGTGAAAATTGGGTTTGAATAGCGAACGCATAAATATTCACATCTATAGTGGCTCAGTTGGAGCGTAAACGATTGCGGCAAAGCCATTCATGATATTACGTTAGCGTATATGTATGTATGCAATGCGAGTAATTGAAGGTCAGTTGTGGTCGCTGTTGAAACGAAACTACTGTTTTTAAAAGCCACGAACCGACCGATTTCAGTCCAACTGTGAAAAGCAGCTGAGAAGTGCCTAGGAATAGCGTGCTATATCATCAGATGATTGTTCCGTACAACGAACCCGTTTACGCAGGCGACGCGCCAGACCTCGGCGATGTACTGTCGTTTTGGCATTCTCTAAAGAACGATCGCACAGATAAGAATCTGTTGGATCACGGCTTTGTTTCTAAATTCAGCATAAACGATGGTGATAAGCGTTAGGCATGAATGAATGGATGGATGCATTCGTGTGAAAGGAGTAATTTGAAGTGTAGCCGTTTGACAATTGCCGTGCATGCACACTGCTAGTCACTATTAAACATTCTGGTTTCTATCTATCTCTATATAGAAATGCAGACATTTCCTCGTTCGCATAATTTTTCGCTCTAATTAAGCGAAGGTATTTTAATTTTTTTTTTTTCATTTTGCTCCACCATAGATGCAACATTCCCCACTGAATTTATAAATAAAAGCTACTGCACGTTGTTGGACTATATCACGTATAGATTTTCCACACTGGCCGTACACCGATTACTCTACAGATGTGTTCATGAAAAAAAAATACATATTTTTTCCTTGTCCGTTTGCAAATCGCGACTAAACCTGGCAGAGTAGGCAAGATTCTGAAACAATTATTCTGTCACTCCAATGTTGGCACTCAACACTACGAGTAGGCACAATGGCTCATTTTAAAGATATGCAGATCGCCAAACTTCTATGTAGTCCAGTATCGGGTACGTAGCTCGCATCAGCCTTGTTCGTCAGCCGGCGCTGGCAGACATTTCATTATGAAATGATATTTTTCCCTGGATGCTTTAATTTCATAAAAAAAATTATAATATTATATGATCGCAAGGAATTTAATCGATAGGAGAAATATCTGTGTTCTTATATAAATATAGTACAGCAGACGTTTAGATGGGTCTTATTGTAATAAGTACTTTTTGATTACTTTTTTCTAATACATTTCGGTGTTTCCTTCTTTTTTATTATTTCTTTTTCCATTTTGTTTAGCCCGGAAGTGGCGAGCAACTAGAAAGGGTAGCGTTGCTGCTATTGAAAAAAAATATCGTTCCAAAGTGTATCTTCCGTTCGGCTATTGTATGTGCTCTGCGACATTCTTTCACCCCGACGAGATAGCCCCTCAAACAAATCGCAGACGTATAGGTGTTTTCACTCGATTTGATTATGTGTGATTAATTGTTCTTATTATCTTGGCTCTCTATAGATCTTGAACTATGTTATGCAAATTTTTCGAAGTGTATATATATACATGCACACATCGTGATGATATGCTGAGTATTTCAAAATAATTTATTGAATAGATTGCTTGATCGATTTGCCGGAAATGACTCCTATCTATATACCTATAATCTGAACTTAAATAACTGACCTAAGTTTGAAAATCCGAAATGTTAAAGCCTCGGCAGCTAATGTCGTCATATTGCCTAGGCGTGGGCGCTTCTATGGCAGACACTGTCAATGTCGTCGCCGGTTGTCTCATTCCCACATTTGTACTCATGCAATTCAACACAAAGTACACGGATGCATGATGCTGAAACTTCACCCTGAGAGTAAGGTCTGACTGTTGTTATATCGACGATTATAGAGACGGTCCCTATCGTCGCCATTGTGGCTGTATGGAGCGTTGGCCATACGGTGACAGTCAAAGTCGACAAGGTATCGGTGCATATTGTTACCGCTGCCGTTGCTACCGTTAATGCGCGATTACTGTGAATAACTAGCGGATGAAGCCGATAAAATAAAGCGAAAATTGTCGCTTTCAGCGATGTTGTTCTTTAGGCGCGTTTGCTAATATCCATCGACGCTTCTCAATTGCCCAAATGTGTCTGCGTGTTTACTTATTCAAAGGACCCTACAGGAGCACGCATGCAAAACCGACGCTGTTGCTACCTGGGGATGAGGAAGGAGAATGACTGGCAAGTGATGTGTTGTGCCATCTATTACACTAAAAGCGTCTGCAACGCTAGGACTATCGAGCGTTAGGGATCTCGTTGTATATGTACGCATATTTAAGGTAACGTCACCCTCAGACATTACGGCCATCCACAGGGTAGACACCCCCATTACTTAAACATGCTGTCCAATACTAAACCTAGACCGGGTCACTCACTGACACTCGCTTGCGACGTAGGACTTTTTCGTAACATACAGCCATATGGATGGACGGTGAATGCCACGTGGATCAAATAGTTACTCCTCTCTGCCTACTTCGCCTGTCTACATAGCGAGAATGAGTTGCTTATGATAATAACGAAAGTAAGTAACAAGGTTACGTAATAGTATTTGCCATTGATGTTGTTATTTCTACGCTGTCATACAATAACACTAACTGCATTCGGAATGATCAACGCATGGTCGCATGCACTCAAACAGTTATTTGACGCGTTCCCCTTGATTTTACTCAGGGGCATTTTGTATCGGTCGGTGACCAGAGCGAGCGAACATAATGGACAGTGGCAACAGTAGCCAGTTAGTGGTTTTCTACAATAAGGAAAAAAGGGCAAGCGGGTAGGCAAGGTGTAAACATAAATGTTTTTACTTTTACGTCTCGTACTGTCGTTAAGCTTTGCTTTAAATGGCTGGCTCCCAGTTTGAAACTTAATGTGTCCACGCCCAGCTTCGAACCCCCAAAGTTTAAAAGGGCAAACACGATAGCACTGCATCATTAAGGAGACAGGCGGTGTGTGGCTGAGCGCGTGGTGAACAACGATTTCAATCAGACTATTTCCATCTCCGCATCTTAATAAAACAACATAAACAACGTGGCTAAATAAGGCAAAAAAAGTTATAACTTCAAACGATATAAATATATAAACACAACTGCTGTATATAGCGTTAAGATAAAGTCGCTATAGTGAGGTGCATGAAAAATCGACATACGTTTTTTTAACCAGCCTGATATATACATTGTTTTCCAAGGTATAATTAGTTAGAAAGAATAAGTGGGCAAAGGATAATGTCTCTAACAAGGAAAATTTACTTTCAAATATTATTGGAAATTTAGCAAAAACTAACGGACAGTATTGTCAGAACTTTCAGGCATATTAATCTACGCAACCTACGAGTGAAAACGAAATTTGAAAATGTCCAGAATATTGAGAGACAGCTTTCGGGAGGACCAATAATACCAATGAGCTTCACCGGTCGATTAACGGCACTGGAAATTTATGGCGAAACATCTTAAAGGTCTGTTCGATAATAGATTTGTGAGCTTAACATCAGCACCTTATGTGTCCATCGCATTTTAAGACAAGGCGGTGATCCGGAACGACAGCAACTTTCTTGCGAATGGCACTTGGAAACATATGGACAGAAGAAGTAAAAATCTGCCAAACAGGTGGGTTAGACGAAGAAGACGAGATAGAACACTCAGGCCTGACGCTGATGGGCTTCTTCCTGCCGAGATTAACTTTAAGATGAAGTTTACGTCAGGATGAAGGTTACGTTACCGAAAACACTGAAAGATTTAAAAGAAGCAACTAAGCAAAGATGTGCTAAGACATCAGACGAAATCTTTGTTGAATCAACAGTCCACCGTTATTAGCAGTGTATCAGTCAGAATGATAACGGCTGGATACGTGTGCATGAACAATAGGATTTGTACTTTTCGCAACTTAAAATTTAATTATATGTAAGTATAAACTGAAGCTATAGTCACTCAACCTGTGTATACATTCGTTGAGGTACTTCGTATGTTTTTGTACAGAGCTGTAGGAACGGCGAGAATGAAAGCTTTAATGCAAAATATGCTAGCAGCTACAATCAAAGCTAAACTACCAGTTATCGGCCATGACATCCTAGAAGAAGTTATGGCCATCGTAGAAGGTTCGTTTCGCCTATCGTCTACTGACGATTACAACTTATCCCAACGCGTGGATTGCTCAATTTGAAGTGTCTACCTGATAGTTTCACCGTCTGCTTGACATCATCACTTTGGGGACGATTCGGGGTTAAATGTATGTCTGGTTTAGGACTCCTATTCTAATTTAGTCTCGTAACGCTATACACAAGAATTTCAACCGTCAGCTACAGCTTCAGACGTGTCTGAAGTTCCATAGTCGAAGGAACGCTTTGTCTGCCATTTGTTGTTGTTGTTGCTGCTGCTGCTGCGGCTGCGGCTGCGGTTGTTGTCTTTATAGTTATTGTTGCTATTAGATTGGTTCCCGGCAAGAGAGTAGTCTTTATCTCCCTTACTTATACGTATATATTTGCGACTATGTTGCGCTGGCCTATACGGAACGCGCGAGCACCGATTCTCCGCTTTACTTGGCAAAGTATGTGTTTGTATGTGTAATCTTTCTGTTGCCTGGTTATTCCGTCGTCATAGGACAGTAATTGATTGCTTGCGGAAAAAACACGCACACGTCAATAAACGCACGTTAGAGTGTGCTGGGATGTATATTGTTGTTGTAGCTTTCCGATACGTCTCGGTGCATTGGCAGTTATTCGTCGGTCGGTGGTGATGCCAATGGCGCATCGGTGGGGTTCGCTATCAGTCTGACCATCCGCCCGACGTTACTCGATTTGTCTGTATCTGAGGGTTGTGTGTTTGCATTCTCGCTACCTGTAGCTGCTATTAGGAGTCGCCAACGGCGGTAGCAGCACCTTCGAGCTCCGAGCGGCGTCAGCGGTCGTTGCAACAGTCGCTCGCGATCTTTTTTCTGTTCGTTGTTGTCGTTGCAGTGGCAGTAGTAGCAGTCTACGTTCCAGTCGTCCGTTGACGTTTTTTCGGTTCCATCTTCTGAACAACCGGCGGCGGCGGCGGCGGCAGCAGCAGCAGCAGCAGCTGGAAGCGGATAGCAGCTACTTTTATACTCTAATAATGACAGGAACGACTAAATAGATGTTTCGAGTTTCACATCCGATACTGCCTCAGTTTGACTTCTATCACGAAACGAAGTGTATCTACGTCCGGTTTACTAGCAGCAATGACCTCGATAGGACTACTACCGTTTGGACAAATATGGGGAATAATGAAACCACAGCAAACGTTGTGCCAATGCTTTGCTAAAGATTCGGTCAGGTGTAACGATATGGCAAGCATATTTTTCGATGACTACCATCTTTCTCCAAATCAACTCAGTATGACGAACTCTCCTCCTTTTTACCCGATCGAACCCTTATGGATTTTTTTCCTGCATGCCCTTTTGTTTAGACAGTGCAGTTGCATAGACGAGCAATTCTACGTTATGCTCCTTTCTGGTATGATTCCACACCACCATAACAAAGACTTACCAACCCATAAGGTCAATGGATGCGTAAACTATAGGGTTGCCTATTATCATTTTGACATCACATCATAGGGAGCCACAAACTCCAAACACAATATTCTATTACTTGCATACACAAAATTGTAACCGGGCTTTCACTGCTTCAATCGATAAGATAAAAGCTCACCAAGTCTCGTTAGTAACCCTCCGATCGGCGGTACCTTTCCCTCCAAAAGCATAAGCCGCACTTGTGTGTAGGCTGTAGGTTTTGCCGAGTAATCCTGTTCGACCTGCCGGCAACGGGTTGGCCTCCAGCTGTGCGGCTGCAGGACGACGCGTCGAGAAAAAGGACACCACTGAAAGACACGTGAGCCACTCCAAATGTCCACACTGACAATGAAATGATAATCGCCTGATCAGCTGTCGAACCGAAAGCCTCGAGTGGATAGCTGATGCGAGCTTTTAACCTCCTTGCGTTTTCCTCCTGGACCAAATTCAACCTACATCAACACTGCTACTAATTCACAAATACGCCACATTTCCGCTCACGTAAATACACTGCATGGTTGCATTGTTACTCCAATGGCAAGCGATAGATATATTCTTAATCGTTAGTTTGATAATTAACGTGTTATTATTTCAGTCGAATCTGTTTCCGTTTTATCGACTATCTACGTTACGCTGCAGCCATTGTTGTCGTCTGAACAAAAGGTGCGAGCAAATAATCGAGTGATCTAATTCCAAGTAAGTCGTACAGTCGTCGGCTTTCGTGACTCTGAGCCTTAATCTGATCTGCAGTAATCGTCGCTGGTTTGATTACAGTTAACGACCACGTTTTGCATTCACTAATTCTGATCTTCAATCCATTGCCGCAGTCAATCTGCGTTCTCCGTTCGATGGGAGCTGCCGCTGGCATCGACGACGATGGCAGCGACACCAGCAATAACAGCACTGCGCTAGATACACGACACTGCAGAGAAAAACCACTACGAGCAGGCAAGACGATTGAATATTGCACACGTTCGGCTCCACCGCAGCGACGCTGACAACGAAGGATTCCGAGCGCGACGCACTAGAATCTAGCGGCCTCGCAAGCAAACGACTGCGGCACCTGCCAATATTTCGGCTGTATAGACCGGCTGACTGAATCGACTTGAGCGGTTTTGGTTCTCGTCGTCGAACCGTACGATGCACTGCACTGTCCCCTGTGTCGTGTCTAACAGACAGCGCCGTACGAGTCGTATTGGTGTCGCTCACATCGGGGAGCGGAGAGGGCTTTTGATGCGGTTCGGGCTAAACCAACGATCCTTGCTGCTACTAGCACTACTGGCGATATGATCCACTCGTTGCTCCGGGCTACTTGAGGCTGTCCGGTTGTAACGAGCAGCCACGACCCGTTCGACTCTGTGCGCTGCACTTTACGGCAGCCACGACCGACAGCCAGCAGTTCGCTGATGTTCGCCTGGTCCTCCCGTCCGACTGCCTCCTTGCTTACTGCTCCCTGCCTTGTGTCGTATGCTACTGACTGGGGAAAGGGTCCCAGAAGAGGTTGAGCCCCGTAGCGCCCCCTGCCCGCGCATGCTGAAAACCATACAATAACAACAATAGCGGCTATACACTAACAACGTACCACAGCTCACACAAAAACAGACTTAAAGACACACATAAGCACATGTAAATAGGCGCATTCACAGTCATAAACACTCACGAGTAACAAGTACTGCTAGATTGTTGTCGAACGCATGAGAGTAGTGACCGAGGCAACACTGGACCACACCAAGATTCCGCTAAATTAAAAGAACTTGTAAAGCGTCTAAGTATTCTACGTATTATTACGTACTTTGTGAATATATGAGCCACTGAGAAAGCTACACATAGCATGCAGGTCAACTAAAGTCCAGGGCACAGGATGATCTATTACAGACTAAATGAAGGCACCACATTGGACAGTTAGTTGAACATGACAGCTTCAGTAAAAAAGGAACGAAGGGGGAAGCCAGCATCAGCGATGCCCCCCGTCCCGCTAACGGCACATCTGCACACATAGAGCTCTTCTGATGATTGTGGAGATTGTCGTGATGATACACTGCAAGGAAGACAGAAGTCTGTTAATGTTTCTACGGTTTCGAACTTTATTAGCTAAAACGATTTTACCGTGCGACCACACTAAATTCAAACTTCTGTTACTGAATTAGATGCGCCTATCGTGATTTACGATGCTACGCTCTGATGTTTAATACAACCAGTTTAATTAGCTATTAATATATTTAAGTCGAATTCATCAATATGGGTGTGTATATGTTTGAAATCTTACCGAGATTTATTATTTTAAGAGAAAAAAGACAAAAAAAGAATACGATCCCATTTTAATCCACTTCTCTGCATAGTCCGCCGGTGATGTAACATAATAGCAAGGGTTTCGAACTTTCTACTGTTATTTTGGTGTTTAATATACAATCTAAAATTAATTGTAGAAACAATACTCCTGTTGATAGTGAGTGCAGCCCGGTAAAGGGAGAGCCGTTTTGTTATAGACACAGTCAGACTATTACTTTCACACCCTTTCTCCGTCTATCTAGGTTGTAAATGGTCTCATGATAATCTTGGGAATTCTGCGATAGGATTGAGCTTTTGGCTCCAAGCGAAAATGGTGTTTCAAACCTTATGCAAGCAATAATAGTAACAATATTTTTATGCAAAATTTAGGAAAGCATTGAAACAAGTAAATGTGAGAAAATTTTAATTTCGAATTGTTTGTTTTTTGGCAGTTGGAGACGGCGCTTTGGGGGAACATGGTCGACGTGAATGTGCGATACGCAGCCCCATAAATACTCGATATTTCACTTATCTAACGGCATTCTATATCGAAACTAGAACGTCTCACCTAAGTCCTATGTCACCTTGTCGGATTGCCCACCTGATGACTCATTCAGTGATAAGCAGTAGTCGCGGTGCGATTCCTGAGAAAGGCTAGAAATATACAACTAGGCAAAAGCCTTTATATAATCTTGGTAGGATATTGTAACGTGTCATCGATCTAATGAAAAAATATTAGATTACAACCAAAATCGTCACTGAAGTATGTACAGAGGTAGCCCCGATTCCTTCCGAGAATGGCGTAGTGTTTTGTACTTAAACGCCACAGTGGAATAAAAACTGTAATTGTTTGGCTCTAAGTTACTAGATGATCACTGAATCGTCATCGGCGTTAGCGACAGGCCTTGCTTTGGGCCGGAAATTACCTACGTGTACAAGTGTGCTTCAGGACAGCCGTTAAAGGCACAGGGGAACGTCATTCGTAATCAGAAATCAAAATGCTTTTGTAGTGTGGTTCGTTAGAAAGGAAGGCGCAACAAATTTAGCTTGTCTAGATTTGGAATGGATCTATATTGAAGGATTCTTAAAGCGCTTATGTTTGATGATTGCCATGCCTCTGTTTTGTTCAGTTGTAGCTTGGTCTGCATTGAATATCGGGGGCTAACTCGCGCTACTACGTTTATTACTATCATTATTTATCGTTGCTATATGTAGTTGAATAAAGGGGGTTATGTTTATTGTTTGGCGCTGCTATTCGATTGGTTTATTCACACTCAGATTATATTTGAATTTGTTTGGTGGTACCGTTTCCAACGACATTCTATTTAGATCCATGATATTTTTCATATCTCAGAACTGGATCAAGTTGGAAAAACTGCAGCCTAAAAACAACGATTATCATAAGCGTCATTAGTCGTATAATGTATCTCGGATGTATGTATACCAAATAGAAGAAGACTGTAAGTAATAATAAAATTGTCAATAATAAACGTATAGATATTGTTAGAACAAAAGTTAAGATTATCTTCAAATGGAACCAATCGTTGAGCTATTTAGATGAAACGTCTGTCAGTAACGGTAGACGTTGTCCGAATGTTCTTACGCAGATCCAGAGCAGACTGGCCAATTGGGCGGAGTACCCGTCAGGCAGAGAGTTGACACCCTAACACAGATATAAGTTAAATACAGATTACTGATACAGATAATGATCGCTTAACGTTGTTGTTTCGTAAGTTGCACTCGTGCCCCCTGAACAGATAGTTCTCGACAAACGCTTAGAAGTTCATTTAACAAAAAAGCTAGTCATATTAAACATAAATCCCTTTGCCATAAAAAACAATTCTTACGTTCCCCGATTTTTCTCGCGAATATCACATTGGATTGAAGAAGAAGAGCTAACGTCAAAATCTACAAAGGTATTTTTTTTATATATTTAAATATAAAAGAAATATTATTACTTCACTAAATATGCATTATTTCGATCAATAACCTTGTCCCATTTTTTTGATAGCAGTACAATCCCATCACTGTAGAACTTCTGTGATTCCTGGCCAAACAATTTTACAAGTAATTTTTACATTCGTCCTGAAACTAAACTATTAAGCTTTCAGAGTGAACGCAATTAAATTTCCAAAGTGGATTTTTTAAATTTCTGCCATATGCTAATCATGTATATGCTCCGACAGTGTCATATTGAAAGACGACGCCTTTTGCTTACCGGTCTATACCAATTTTTCTCTTACTGTAACCTTGTTAATTGTCGGCAATAGAAATTTGTATCAATCGTCCCCCGCGGGGGCAGTAACTCAGCTATGCACGATTCCTTACCTATTCCACAAAACATAAGGTCTGCTTGGGCTTTTCCACAAACAAGATTTTTATTTATTTATTTTTTTCATCTGAACATTATTGTTGTATGTGAGCCATTTTTTATCATCTGTGGTCGATCGATTTGAAAACACCTTGATCTGGTTGGCTTTTTGTAGAGTTTCGTTGATAAAAATACGACGATCGAGTATATTTATTTACGTCAATCCGTGTGGCAGCGAAGCTTTGAGACTTTTTCTTAGTCAGCTTTCTTCAAATCGCTTAAAGCTGTTCGGTGGTGGATGTTTAGCTCTCCTGCTCAGTTTTCGCAATAGTTTCATCAACTTTTACCCTAATTGGACGACCACTACAAAGAACACCTTTTGCATCGAATTTTTCAGGGATGTTTTGTCCGATAACGCATCTTTTTTTTTTATAAGGCATTTGTGCGGATATTCCAACAATTTCAACATACTGTCAAAGTGCTGACTTTCAACGCCGGCTTGACACGAGTCGTATCAGCTGACTTGGAAGCCATCTAGCTGAAGATGGTCAATACTCTTTTGACAACTATATATTATATTACTTAGTTATTTTTGAAACCAGTAGGTTTATTGGTATGAACAGATTAGAAAATCCATAAGCTATTATTATTTCTTGGTTAGATTAGATGGTGTTCATCATATCATAATAGCATTTACTTATCTTTACTTACTACTTATGTAGAATTTATAATATGACAATTAACTAATTGATCCAAACGAGAGACGAAACGTCGCTTCGAACAGAACGGCTTGATAACGAAAACCTGGGCAGTTCACCGTGCGATTCGTTGCGATACTTGACAATACACAGACGGGGCACACATATTCAATAGACAAATTAGGAACAACTGCCCTCTATTTACTTAAGACGATCGAACCGTTTTCGGCTGGTTAAAAATCATCTTCTGACATGACGTAAGCCGATGTGGCTTTCGATAACTGCTTTATCTGTGCGTTGTATTACAGGACTTCTGCTGTACATACTTCCAGAGAGATCTCACTTTGCGTCCTAATCTACGCCAGAGTTACAGATTAATCTTAGTTCTAGTTGAATACTGGGTTGGGCGCATGTACACTTCTCATTCGTACGCATATGAGACAGGCTGGTGCTTGTTAGTACTGATGATGATAGCAGATTTTGCCGACTTTTCCTCTAAATATTTGTTTTGCAATGACAGGTGTTCGTGACGTCAGCAGTTCGGATAGCACATAAATCAATCTAAATTGATTATCAAAGCAAATGACCAATATAATAGTTACTTTTTTAATACGTGGCTCTGAGGGCTAAGATCGTGAGGATCCCGCATGATAGAATAGAGCTAGCATTTCCCTTATAAGATAACTGTGTCACTTAATCACGTCAGTTAAAAATCTCAGGCGCAACTTCACGACGCCTAGAGCCGTAACGTAAAAGTGGCAAATCTTTTGTCTACCAAAGCATTCAGGGATCGCTTGACGGAGCCGATTGTTCGGAGAGACTCTGGTGTACAGGAAACGCCGCATATATGGTTCCCATTGCTGAAACTGGAAGACCATTTTTTGATTATTGGCCAAGTGAACTGCTCGCAGCAACCGTACAAGCACGGTTTACATATTCACGGCGTAGGAAATTGTCTTCTATATATGTCAGATATCTATTTTATTTCGCATTAACGTGAGTGAACGCAATCAAAGTGTCATCTCGCGCCAAAAGTTCTGACTGCTCTATTATCGTTCTCGTTATGGGCTCTTAAAATTTTTCTTATCAATTCTTATGTCACTTTACCGAGTGAACGGTTAGGCCCAAGGACTATTAGCGAGCTCCTTTACGGCGGCTGGATTGTCATTGGGAACATACTAAACGTATGCCATTTATAAAGCCTTGTGCCCGCTATCTCTGCCACCAATTGGTATTGACCTCATCTCGCCTTCCATTATCATCGCCGCGTCGCAGTCGAAGGTGGCCACGCTTTCTCATAGCCAGCGTCGTTTACTTCTCTGAAAACAGCAACCACTCCTTTAAAATACATCGGCACGACGCGATCGCATTAGCAGCGGGTGTAGTACTATCGTAAATGTTACCCTTTCCCATCCACCCACCAGCGTCTCGATCGCACCCCCATTCTCTAGTCGCCTTCGCCTCTCCCTCATTCCCCCGCTCTCCTTTACCTCCTGGTGGCTCGACTGTTCTTAGCAGACGCTCGTTCTCTGATCGTCTAATGGTCTAGGAGAGTTTAGTATAAGACTAGGGGTGAACCAGCACACTCGACAAGTATCGCTCATATATATGCATAGAATAACAACGGCTTTGGTGATGGCTGAAGGTGGAGGTGCCTGTTTGTTCAGAGTCATCGCTGTCCTGTACTAGGACACGGTACATCGTGTGTAGCTTGGCGGTTTACCTACCCACCAATGACAACATCAACCTCTACTACTACTGCAACGTTCGCTGTACCCCCGCCTGTAGTAGCAATAGCATTGCTGATATCCAGTATTACGATCACGAAAGCACAACGGGGAGCAGACTCACCAACAGCAGCAGCAGCTGTCTCCCGTAGGCGCTCGACGCTCTATCTGTCTCTCGGCCTAGCACCGCTGTTGTTATGATCGTCTCTGCCTCATTTTGCTCTCTCGACTAGTTCAAACTGTTGACTAAACGACGATATCTCCAGTCAGGGTTGCCGTGGCACAGTGTGATCGACACCGCTACCGCCGTCCACTGCCGAATGTTGTACTTTTCCTTTTGCCTCCTGATCCTGAGCTCGCAACAGCTGCATATTATGATGATGACGACGACGATGAACAGTGCGGCCATGTTTGTTTGAGAAGGGGAGATTCTCCCATTAGAGCTCTGTTAAAGCAGAACTGAACCGTTCATTACTTTGCTTCTTGCACCGGACTTTACGTTACGGCTATAACAAAGCGACCCACGGAGGACGTCGTAGCGGTGTAACGTGCTGGTCGTATATTAGCACAGCGTCAACACAACGGCCATAATCTACTGTGAGATTTGACTTAAGCGCCCATTTACTCTGTTTACCGTTATAGTGGTGAAATAGGTTAACGAGAATTTAGGCGAAATGGACTACCCGAATGCAGATCACGGAATAATGCTGGACTCTTCATTTGAAGTTAATGCAATGTAGGCAGTACAGGAATCGAAAAATGAACGATCAAAATTAACTGTCAACGACGGAACGACACTTATGTGAGATAAATGTATTACTAGGAGAGGCGATGGGACAGAAATAATCGCTGATTGTCGGTAAAATAGAGACAACACAGTAAACCGGCCAACGCGAGAGAGCATTTGTCCGTTCCGTCATTATCCTCGACTAACCGATACCAAGACCATTGCGCTTTTATCTTAAACTCATTAAACATTTCTCTATCGAAACATTCGATGTTAGACGTTACACACTCGGCGGAAGCTCTTCGTTGTAGCGCTGCGGAGAGACCGAAGTGCACAGACCAACGGTAAGCGCAAGACAGATTGGCGCAATTGGGCTCCCTTAACTGAGTCACGAAGCTTCCATTGGCTCCAAGAAGGGAAATACCCAATCGCGAATGGCTAACTTCTCATTGAAAGGAGCGGGAGCGAGCAGGGAACACAAGTAGTAGACGTCATAAAATTTCTACAAAAACGTGATTAAATGGAAAAAAAAATGCGTATAGAGTTATGTACATATAGAGAGAGAACATATAACTGACGAAAATCCTCGATGAGTTTCGCGATCTGTGCTCGATCTATTCGTTATACGATCTTATCTTTCTTTTGCCCACTGCACCTCGTTCCCGTACAGCGTCCGCTGGTGTGGCTCCGCTCACGTGCTACGACGCGCTATTGGCTCAATGCGGCCATACATATATGTGTGCATTAACGCATGTGCGTAAAACGGAAAAAACAAAAAGTAAGAGGCGAATCCCGTAATCACTCCGAATTTACTAATCGACGACGCACTTATGAGGAAACTGATAGTGTACATCTCTTCAGATACGCTAGCACGAGAGAGTGAGTTTCTTCTCGTGCATCTCGTTACAAATACCAGGTAGTGGACCGCTCAGGACCCGCTGCTATCGTCGTCGGATCGATCCAGCTCTGAGAGCAGCTGTGATCGTACTAATAATTGGTGGAATTTGGGTTTGGGCATCTCATTTGTCATTAGGTTTTGTTCTTTGGAGTGATATTGTGTCACCCTTCTACATCGACGGCACGAAACAGAAACGTCACAGACAACTAGGTCCTGTGAGCGAAAAATGAGAATTGACTACATTTTTAGTGAGCGATTTAGTGTCATATTATAATATTTTGTTCCCTATTGTCCTGTCTGATTGTGATTTGACGTGTGTGCGCGCGTATGTGTAGCGTATCGTCGTATATCTTGTCATCGTAATTTCAGATAATTTCTACCGGAGTTGTATGTTGTAGTCATCATCGTACAATGATTTTTCACTATTATTGTCAGTAAAAATTATTCGTGCATGTTCGTTTGTGGTATCCTCGTCTGGCGTAATAAATTTTGCCGTCCTCGTACATAAAGTATAGCGTATTCAGGTTGTAGTCAGGTTGTTATTGCCACTATCACAATGTCAGCCCGTGAGCGTCGGTGCGGGCGTATGTGCGTGAGGCAAGCAGCGTGAGGTTGAAACAGCCTATTATCAAATCGATTGCGAACCAGTCAGCCACTGTCAGAAACTCAGGTGGACAAACGAAAAGACCGGTGGCAGCCCAGATCCACCGACAGTGACCTCTGTGGTCTAGAATTTTTTCGCTGGCGGTAGTGGTGGCAGTATTGCCCCCTGCGTCTGATAATATCCGTCTATCGATCGCGTGTGATTTTTCTCATTGTGTGACGCCGTCGTCCGCCCTCTCCTGTACGTGTTACGTGTAGTAACAACACATGGGCTCTAATCGGGAGCGTGAGAGCCGGCTCGAGCAAATGTCGGCCTGCGAACTGGAGTCCGCCTGCTAGCCCCCGACCGGGCAGGCCGGGGTGCCATCTGGTGGCAACCAAACGGCCAAACTATCTTCTGTCAAGAAAATCATGTCAGAGGTGAGTTAAAAGCAAGAAACTCAAGTAATAACTAGTTATAAATATGAAGTATATATAGTACGCAGTTGTTACAACTTGTACAGCACATACGCTCAGCTTTTCGCACATATGTGGAAATGCTCCGTCGTCCTAGGCCACCCCATTTCTGGCAACTTAGCTAAGGACAAGCTATCATCGAAGCCATCTTCGTACCGGTGATTTGTATTTGTGCTTCACCTCTCTACTAAGTAAGACGTTATACTAAGCAGATTGACGTGTTAAAGGCCACGCATTGTTATTTAAATGCGTTGTATTGTTGTAGTTATTTTTTTAAGGGATATATCGAGATATATTATTGGTTAATGCAGCACTGGCAGTATAGCTTTGAAATCTCGCAGCGTAGCGTTGTCACTAAGGTATCCTTAGCCCAATTGGAAGTACCTTCTATGTAAATAATAATAATAGTTAGTACAGACAAACGAGAAACGAGACACGTTGCTCAAACCTCAATGATCTCAGGTAATCAATAGATCAACCGTTGATCAGTTGGATTCTTAAACATTAGCTTCCGCTTAAGCAGAAAATTTCATCACTGCGTGGATGACGTCCGCTGTACAAACGACGGCCGTGATACGCAAAAGATCGTTCGAGCAAATTTCAACGATTCTATATGTTTCTCTATAAATACAAGTCAAAATTGCAGGTGAAAAGGATCATATATGAAAAATCAGGCACTTATCATCATTAGCATCACCATCACCATTCTAGACTAGAGCAATCAGTTAAAATGTTTATACAATATCAACGAACCCTATTCGTGTTTCCAGCTGATTCATAAGTGATGCTAAAAGGTGACACTAACTTAACTCGCAACTTCTCAGCGACAAAAGGTTTTTTTGAGGATAAATTTTGCTGTCAGCGAAATTGTATCGTCGATTTACCTCTGACGTCTCAGAATCCACTGAAACCGTTCTGGAACCGTGAATCGGTCCAATTCATTACACACGATTGCGCAATGAAAGCGAGAAAAGGAAAAGAAGTAGTAAGGTTTCGGGGGGTCGAAGGTTCAACAAACGAGTGATAGGGGGGTAAGAAGCAAAAGGAAAAAATGAACATAATCTTTGGGCACAAACGTAAAAATTAGTCACATTTGCGTTCACCTGTATCGCAGAACATCTCGTCCTGTCATCATAGGAGATGGCGCACGGACAGAAGGAAGAATCCACGGCGTCTGTATACAGCTCCAGAATTGTCGCTTGACAAGGATGTACAAGGCACGGATTACATTTTGAGTGGGTGTTGAAGATTTAAAGGCGGTCGACGAATAATAAACGTTTGGCATTCGGCTCCTATTGTGACGATTTTTTAGAACAAACATCGTTGTTATTGTTTTTAATAACGAATAATTAAAAAACCAATAGAAAAAACCAACTTCGCTTACTCGGTCGATAACATGAGTACCCAACTCTAGGGCTCTTGTTCTAGGAAGGTCGTGATCCGTTTTACGCGGGGTCGAGTAAGCCTGTCGCAGCACATGCGAAAAATATATATTAGTCACGACTAGTTATGTAGGTTAAGAGTTTGAGCGTTCGCTGGGTTCACCATGGGCTTAATTTGGGCTGAGTTAAGTTCTGTCAAAGCTATTATGCTAATAGCGATTATAAAGGCTAGAGTAGTTCGGGAAGTAGCCAAACCTGCAAAATGCGTGCTCGTTTCAAATTGCAAAGGCATGGACGGCGGCAATAATGTTTTATTGGTATATACGATTGTTTTCGTACGAGCGAGCTGAACAGAGCAGTGTTTACACAATAGGCCTAACGAGTGTACAGCTCTCGTTGGTAACTATTGTCTTTCTACTCTTAACGGGTTAACTTATAAAAGCAAAAGAACTAAAGAAATAAAGTTAACGAAGTAAATTGGGTAGTTCGAACGTTGGGTGATTCGGGTATTGGCCAAGATTAAGTCTTTTATCCGTGTGGCGGCAAATTTGATACGATCCTTAGATTTGAACCAAAATCGCAGTGATTGTTTCCTCTTCGTTTGCTCTTATTAGTGTGGCCTTTATCATTTCAATATAAAGTTGAATTCGAATTAAGGTAGTAAATACGTAAGAGTGACCTCTAATTTAGCTCTTCAAGCACTTGTCAAATACAACTATGCCGCCTGATCGAGCATATAGACCATGAGCAATCTCGAATGACGTTGAAAATTCCATTATAAACGAAATTTTATATTCGACTTATCTTACGTACTGTTTACATTCGTTCAAATTAATTTATGTATGGGGGTCGTCCGATACAAACATTCAGGCGCACGGTGTCCTCATACGAGTTACCTCGTAACTAAACTGCGAGGCAAAGAACAACCTCACTCTAGGTCAAACCGGCTGATGCATAGGTGTCCTAGTGACATTCTTGTCAAGAACTTTGGCTGAGGAGAACCTGTCATAAGTTGCCAAAATAATGTCTGCTAGCTTATCTACATACGGCAAACTTTTTTCCTTATCTTAAAAGGTGTTTTTCGCTTATCCAAAAGCCTAGAGGAGGAAGGGCAGGCGACTTATTCTGTATCACTGTTAGAATAGAAAAGAGAGACTAACCTCTTGAGAATGTACATTCCGTTTGTATACACTCGATTTCTGTGTGATAAGTATCATACTTACAATAATCATAATTGAATAATTTTGATAGAACTACTGATAGTCACCGGGTTATTAGGGGGCCTACGGCTAATTGTTCTCCAACTAGCTCGGCTACTAACATACGATGTGCGAATTATAAATTAAAAAAAAAACCCTATTATTTTCATGCTAGCTGTGGGTATCACACATCGCACTTCGATCTTGCAGATATATGGGAAGGCTGAGACCCAGTCCACATAAGTCAACTGGTAGGTCCACCGATTGTGATCTATATAAAAAAAAAAACTTAAGTTACTGGAAATGTGCTCGCTAGACAAAAACAGAATATTGAATACCAGGGCTCGAGTATATTACGCAAACGTACCTATATCATTGTATGCTATAGCCAGTGTACGACAAGGCGTAGCGCACGCCTTATTACAATCTGGTCTCTTCTGGACTGCCAAATGGATAAAACTGGGTTATGTCTAGTCGATGATTATTATCAACCGTGATTGATTTTCTTCGTTGCTAGGGGTGATAGTAGCACTGACGCACAACAACGAGCTACAAGCGTAACCTGCCCAAAGATAAAAGTACCTACTGATCACTTGACCTTCCCGTCTCCGGCTGCGTCAAACGATCAGATACTGTTTTAATCTCTACGGCAGTTCCGTAGTGCAGACACAAACAAATGTTGGAAACGCGTTCGATGTACCCTTTGGCGACGCAGAAGCTGTGGTTCAGAGAACTAGATGTCCAGCTGAAGTATATCAATGGTTAGTGATCAACCGTGGATCAAAAACAAATCATTTTAAAAACCAGATTCGTCCTTTCGGACGTTCCATGGCGAGCTAAATGTCTTATTTCGAGTAGCTTTAATCATTTAGAGGGTACATTACCGAAATATGGTAATTCTACAAGTCATTTCACATATCTGTCCGAGTAATGCATTAAGAACTCAAGACGTTGACGTTCCTCGATAGAGATAAGTTAGCCAAGGGCTGGTAAGAGAATTCAATGAAGTATTTAGCAATTTAGTGAGAGGATTTCATATTCCAGCGATGAGCTACTCACGAGACAACGAGAACTTTATGACTCGCTGTCGTCTACACAGATCAGGCCTTGTTTTGTGTCACACATTGCCGTGTGCGCAGTGCGGTGTTATTATTTTATTCCCGACCGGTTCGACCAACTTTCAGATCACGAAGTCGCTTGTCCGGTTTAAGAAGCTGGACATTAATGTGTACGTTGATAGTGAGAGGATTACCTATTTGCAGGATGAAGCAAACTGATGCATTCTGCATCTTTTCAAATTAGTACTGTCGCCACTTAATTAGTGAATGCACTTCAGTAAGTTGAAGTATAGGTAGATTTCAATTTGTAGAGTATTCTCGATTCAGATAGTGATTCGACATTAGTTAGTATGTCCTGCTAGCCTTAACTTCTTCACAACTTTTTGAACTGGCACGCACAGGCATCGTTCTAGAACTAGAACAAGCAATCAACGTCAGATGTATTTATTGATATCGATTTTCTCTGAAAAAATCAAAATAGTAGACAAAATCTAGATATGTTTTTATGACATGAAGCGGCGACGAGCTTATGAGAGACAGGTCGCAGGCAGATGCGCGAGCAATACTCATTTCATACTGGAAGGAGCCAGCAGTCTGAAGTAACGATGTTTAACAACTTCGCGTACTATATGTGAAAACTCGAAGCATTATTTTTAGGATTATAAATAGCACTCAAAGACCTAAAAGTAAGCAACCGGTACTTAAGTAAATGGTATATCTTTATGCATTTGTAACAAGAACAGAATCACGAATAAGGCTCGAGTATTCATTCGAAACAGATACTAAAAGCAATCAGTTACCAAGCAAGATCCGATATTTTGCTTCGCGCTAGGTTAGCACTATGGGTATGTTATACCCCTCCTTCGAAAGAGCTTCAAAATATCTCGGTTATTTGTATGAATAGATGGTCCAGGCCAGGTACGCTCTCCATGCATGAGAGCGTGAACTAGTTTTCGAGTAAGCGACACAAATCGCTTCTAACTGAAATTTAATCTACCAATAAGTAACGGCGTACGATTTTAGTGTTATTTTATCTTCATCTCATATAGAAGAAAGAACACGGAACATTTACTGGAAAAGCTTTGGCTTTTATCACTATAGTACCTTCTTTAAGCTCTTCATATGCGTAGAGATTTTTTATTTCGGTCCCTTTTTGGATGTGTGGAGCACAGGCGATATTAATAATAACTCTAACTGATAAATAGGCCTTTTACAGTAAATCCTTCAACTAGGCTAAAAGCAGGGAGAGTGTTTTCCAAAGAATAACATAATAAGGGTTTCTATTTTTGTGGGGAAACTGCACCATTATCCGATTCACCTGACAAAAGAGAATTTAGCACCATCATTTAGGACAAAAGGCCTGATTTTATTTATTCCGTGCGTGAACTTGAAACCGATCACATTACAATGGCGTCGTGCAAGAGAACCGCTGGACTCTTGACTAAAGAAGTCTGTGGAGCGCACAGCAAATATGGCGCCTCCTTACAACGTTAACGCAAGAGCTCCAGCCATGATTTTTGGCTTCATGCGTTACGATTTAACGGCTTTTATATATTATGTTCTTTTTGCTGATTGTTCTGCTATGATCAATGAACCATATGTATATATATATATATATATATATATATACGTATGGTTCATTATTTATATATTATTATGGTTTAGTTGCCGTTATCAGAGAAATTGGAATCAGTACCTATATGTTTATGTCATGTATACCGTACGCACAGAAGGAGGTGTTCGAATCTTTAACAACAGTACGGTATTGCGGATAAATGTTCAACAGTTGCTATAAGCGCATTTGCACCGTCTGAAGCGGAGTCTGATAGTAAAACAAACATTAAGGGTCGGCCTGAAACAACCGGTGTCTATTAACTAGCACAATCTAAAAGTTCTTGTTTATATATCGATTTATTAGGTTTTACTTCGTATGTTGTAGTATTACTATAGCACTCAGCTTTCTATACTGCCTGTTGGCACATTTTCTCAAAACAATTTATCATATCATTGTCGCTCTAGTCTAAGATCTGATAGAATTTTGTCTTTTTTTATAATGCATTAACAACCGATTCTGGTTTGTTACGGTAGGGAATTGAGGTATGTGCAGGCCGACTGATTGTAATTGTTCGCTTGTGAGGCAGTAAGTTATTGCTACCTTAAAAATAACTAGTTCAAATTGGACGGACCTCGTAGGGTCTCGGGTTTTTCTTCCTCAACCACAGTAACGATTCAACGTCATTTCTCAAACATAAGGTCTACTGCTACATATAAATGGTTGGAAGTTACATTTTCTCATATAGTAGTGATGATTACCATCTTGTCCTGTTCAGGTGAGCTTCACGAAACGCGCGGCTGCGGAACTAAGCCGTTGCTTTAATGGGTTAGCAGTTCGTGCCAAGGCGGGCGCCTCCAACGCTGCTTCCAGTCTCCGTACCGAGCACGCTCGAGTCGGCAGTGGCATCGAACAACGAGATCACTTCCACGGAAAAGGTTCCTCGCCTCCTACGCAACATGGTGGGTAACAGTGTTAACTATACAGAACTAGTATTGCTTTAAGTTACGGTATTTTCCGGAACGCTTCAAAATGCCGTAGCAATAGGTGCTTAGTTAGTAACTAATCAACCACGCCCTGGCTCTTTTTCCGCCTTCACAAAAAGGTCTAGTGGAGCTCAGTGCTTTATGGTGTTTCAAAATACATCGTCCACATTCAATATTCGTATACAACTTTTTGTAGTTCTATAACATTTCTATCCACCCGACTCACATTTCCATCATTCTGGAGGAGCAATTTCATCCTGGGAATAAATCACATTCTTTTTTTTTTATTACCAATTTACAATCCATTGACTTCAAACATCATATAACCCTAGTAGATGTTTTTGTGCGCGCTTACCACAGTTATGACCACGAAAACCTCGACCCTTTTCTATTGAACCTTTTATAGGCTTAACATAGGTATTCTTGTCTCCCGGTTAAGGTTTCGCATCTTGATTCAACCTTATAAAAGTTGGATCACAGAGGTAGTAGGCTCAACGGCCAGAGTTATTATGAATTCTAAGGCGTCAAGCCGTAAGTAGCTCGATTCTACTAACGTAACGGAAGTCTCTTACTTATATGCTGACTAGAGCATTGGTCGAACTTCGCTTGTGTACTTACGAGCTTCGGCTGTGAACTACCATCAAACGGACATAATTTGTCGATTAGGTATTTTCAAGGGCAGCACTGAAAGTAGTTGTTAAAGCTTGCGGGTTTATTAGTTACGCATGGATAAGCTTCTGAAATGATTGTTAGTTACTATAATTATTACTGTTCAGATGAGCACTACATATATTACGCTGCTACAGTCGACGCTACATATTTTTTTAATACGTCACACACATCTGCATAATTTTCATTGCCGCTTCAGTCCATTGCCCGTGTACTAAATGACTTGCAAAGCTACACTGGTACATTGGCGCAAAATGATCTGAAGTATCCAGAACCGGATAATATTCTATCGGACGTGGGAAGAAAACGTATCGTCTACAAAGTGATGGAAACCCTATCTACACTGCTCGGTATTCGTACAGCCCTTAGTACAAGAACATTAATAGAAAATGCAAAAAGGTGTCGCCTCAGGGTACTCATTCAATGTTAGTATTTGTCTGATACGAACCGGAGATAATTATCTGTGGGGCCCTTTTACCAATGTGTCAAGCTTTGCGTGCGAGCAGGAAACTCACCGGGAACGGGCGCCGTGGAGTTAGCAGGTCGACGTCGCCGGGCAGGAGCCGCTCGAGAACTATGGACGGCTCTGACACGACCGCAGACTGCTCAGGGACTCCTGGAAGATGCTGAGTTTTTACGGAGACTCTTTCTTTATTTCAGCGGGACTGAACGATGTGTACTCGCTCAGGTAACACTGAATGAGCTTAAATGATCCTAATATACTATATATACTAAGGCGCGTTTATCGTCCCAAAAGGTAACTGTGTCGGCTATGAAATATGCGCGTGTCAAACGACTTATAAAAAGAATTGCTTCTTCATGCTAACATTGCACCCCTCATACCCCATGCAAACTCGCGCTAAGATGCATTATTTATTTGATTGTACATTCGCTTGCTTCCGCACTATTTTACAAATAAACATCTGAAAATGAGTACAATTTTGCTTTGGTTATCCTAAGTTAAATTTCCCACCTATTTAATGGCTAAACATTTTGTATATTTGGAGGGTGGGGTAGTAATAGTTCGAGTGTTTCCCCGTGATTCATACCACAGCGGCGGTGTGAGTCACGGGGAAATATGTGTATACATTTAGCAGAAAGCTTCGAAAATGTATTGTTTGCAGGTATGTAAGACATGGCGGGACATATTATACCATCCACGCTACTGGAAGGACTCAATGATAGCAGTGGTAAAGTGTCGAGAGTTAAGAGGTCCAGGTCTTGACGGGGTTCAAGGTAGGTTTGACCATCCACAGGGCGTATGCGGGGCACAGCGACTATGCGCGTATGCCTCGTACTTTATATTTATATTATCAATATTATATTTATTCTAAATAAACGTCTTGATTATATTAAACACAAAGGCAGATTACAGGCATTGATTTATTAGGGTATGTAGGAGGAATTTGGGGTGTACAAAGATAAGTCTGTCACTCAGCATATAATCGTGACGCTAGGATACGTTTCCTTGTAATCTTCAACGAAACGGAAATATACAATAGGAAAAAACGAAAGGCCTATTCGCTATTTGACAAAATGTATTTGTAATGCTTCGCGGAAAATTAAAGATCCAATACAAAATAGATCTCAATGAAACCTGTCGAATTCGAGATAGTATTAGGAATACAATGTGACCAGAGGAGTTTTCATACAACACGTGTACCGTTGCACAGCTCTTGCAGTATATAAAATATAGTTTTAATGCAGGTGTTTGTGTCCTTTGTTTTTTTGGTGTGACAGCACGCCGGCAACTATATGATTCATTAGAGCGGAGAGGTTTCGAAGCGGTATGCCTATTCTACGCGAGTGATGAGGACGTCCTTGATTTCATGCACGTCTGTCCTCAGCTAGCGAAACTCACGCGTTTATCACTCCGCTGCAGTTCATTATCGGATCGCGCATTAGAAGCTCTTGTAGGCGCCTGTCCTAAACTCACATGGTTTGTCCTAATTCTACGATACAATAGAATACGCAATATAAACATAAAAGCTATAGCATTGAATGTCTCTCGCATTACAAACAGAATGCTACAAAACATTGAGAACTTGTCACTATCTATTGTATATATATATACTATGCATCATGGCAGCGAGAACGATAGGAGTTGGTCATTTACTAACCCGTTACTCTTGTGCTTCATAGGCTGGAACTGTTTGGCTGTAATGAGCTTACGGATGCAGGTTTGTGGGCATCTCTAGATGCTCGTATCACGACACTTGCGCTCGCGGACTGCATCAACGTGGCTGATGATACAGTGGCCGCAGTGGCTCAACTCTTGCCAGGACTTAAGGAATTCAATCTACAGGTAGGACTATTACCTACTAATGCTGGCCCAAACTTTCAATTCGTACACTCTGAACCATATTTTAATTAACAAAAAAAGCAATGTGTACACATATTTAGATGTGTATTGTTTGGTAGAGGGAGACGGGAAACGGTCTGTTTAATAACATTTCAAAAAATAATCACGAAATTAATAAAGATTTGAGTTCTTTGTGGTTGCTATAGTTTATTCATCGACCAAACCTGAGAATAGTTAAAAAAGGAAGGCCGACGTATGGGTGACGACTTGTTATAAGGATTGCTGAGTGTTCCACATGAGCATTTAGATACGAATTAGGACTGGCTGAAATTATATTTTTGGAATATTCTTTTTCAGGCGTATCACGTCACGGATGCTTCGATTGCCTACCTTGGTAAGCAGTTAGAAACCTCATGTAGAGAACAGTGCGGCTAGTTTTTAAAGATGCTTCTCAGCATTAGCTTATAAACAGTCAGCGATCAACATATAGGTTTTCTTTTATCCGATTCAGCCGTAGCTGATTCAGATTGAATGACTTAATTATAGCCTGACAGACTCTCACTGACTCTGCGAATGAAATTCTATTATCATCGTCGAAAATTTGCGAGACAATCATAATATCAATCTGTGTATACTGCAAATCTTGAAGATAAACATCGTGATTTAGATGTTCCATAATATAGGAAAGTTGTGCATAGTTATTTAGTGGGCCGAGAAACTTAAATTGCTTGAATACATCGTACAAGATGTTATATGTGTTTTTTTGTTATTAACTACATATTAAAGTCAGCGCTCTAAGAGCTCGTCAACAGTTCGGTATTGTCTTGTTGTCAACCTTGTTGTCGATAATTTATCTGGGAAAATCGGTGGTAGAATACGTTACGTAATTGCCGTTCTGAGGGCACAGAAGCAGTCTCAATCCCACGGAAAACAATTGTATTCCTCGTTCGAGACCGTTATTGGAGCATAGAGATAAAATCGTACGTTGTCGTCGAGTGACCACACTGTAGTATCGGTGGCAATATTGATCATTCGTTTTCATCATGTAACAACAAATGCTCGTAATGATTATTGCAAGCATGAACATGAGTTCGGATGTACTCGCTTCCGCTAACAAAATCGCTTTGTGGAAATACACAGATCGGTAAACGACCATCCATAAAAGTTTAGCAACGGACTAAACGAGATCGAGATTCCTATCGTTGTCTATGTAGTGCATATAATTACAGTAGCCAAAAAAACGCTATTAAGAAGCCTGCTCCAGATTCGCTGTCAGTCAATGGAAGAACTAGCATAACATAGACGGTCTAGGTTCGAATCCGGACATAAACACACTGTTTCGTGGTGGGAGCTAGCCGTCTGATGTTACGACAATTTTACATATCAGGTCGGTTCACTATTCGTTGTTTCGGCAGTGTCAAGCAGACGGATGCCGACAGGGCAAAGCTGATGGCAAAAATTGTTTTTCGTCGCAACTAGTCACATACAGTTTAGCATGCCTATAAGAGCTCCGAAAGGCCCAATCTCACACGAAGTATTCGCTGTGACAGCAGAAATGTTATTATTTGTTTAAGTCCAGCAATTACCAGAATGCATTGTCTTCTAGCTCGTCCCATGTTTCGCCTGACCCTTTCCAGGTGGGTGGCATCGACTGATTTATGTCTCGTCTGCGGGACGATGTGTTTGAGACTTGTTTTTTTACTGGTAATTGCTGTATAAGTTTTCTATAGAGTATACCATACCTGTTTCTATCTATGCTGAAAAAACATTTATTGCTTTCTTTATTGACCTTCAGTGTTTTCATCGAAATTTTTTAGCACGTGGATTGAAAAATCCCATATTGAGTTAACAGGGCGCGCATTGTTTATTCCCTGTTCGGCCCAAAAACTTCACTAAGCGTATCGACTCGTCTTTGTCTTAAAATACCAAAGTATGCTCATCGTCTTTGTGATTTCCAATCTACCAATTCATATTCTTAAGAGCATTGCTCTAGCAACGATCTTATCTTGCCAAAGGCTACCTTCTCCAATGTGTTTACCAATCTACGACCTGTTCCACCTGTGTTCTCACTTTTAAGAAATAGAAACTGAACCGTTAAGCTTTGATTTTATTAACATTAAGAGATATTTTCGCCTAAGCTAATTATTGTTTGATTACACGTAATAACAGATAGGAAACGACCTGATTGATTATCTCCCGCATTTCGTTTGCTAGTGGCGTATGGCTTTACAATTACTCAGTCTCTTGGACGCGAGAAAGCTAATTTCTGTATATGTTAAACTGAAAGTAATGGCTTCTATATACGTCTGTTCTGATTTCATTGTGCCGTAAGCGAAACTGTATATTGATTTCATGCTGTTAGCAGGAAGGTTTCATGTAGGGTGCGTTTTCGATATCCATCCTGTTTTGCCCTTTACCGACATCAAAAGCTACCAAAAAAAATGGCCTTAGATATTTGTGCCGTGTTCAGCAAATACTCTATAATCAAGAGGGTTATTCGAAAAAGTATGCCAAGCTTAGAGATGGAATCTTAAGCCTAGAAAAGCTGTCTATCCTGGTCTGCCATCCGCAATCGATCACCTCGTGAACTAGCCAAAGGGTAATTCAGAGTGCAATTAACTATTGTCTGGAATCTCGAATGCATGAAATTTTATGAGATATTCGGAGCCTGGGGGCGACATGGGCTGTGTTGTACGCACAAAAGAATATGGCTTTTTATTCAACTTCAACAATTCGTCTTATACTACACAATGACGGGTTCCCACACGGAATTATTAATCGTGACGGCAATTGGTTTCTCCACGTTTATTTGAGGCAAAGAAGGGAACAAGTAGTTTCGGAAAGTCTTCGGACGTCTATTCGGGAAGTCAAACCAAATCTCCATCCCAAAAAAAACCATGATATTTTATTTGGTAGAATTGGAAAACTTTATACATCGGGAAATACTTGAGAAAAATCGACAAGGTCGTCGACAAGGATCCGTGTATCGTCCAGTTGCATAGTTTGAATCAGGTTTTTCAACAGGAAGAACCCGATAAAGGCGGCAAGGATAATTTTTTTTTCACAAAGCCAGGTCACATCGAAAGTCGGCCCTGGTACCAGGTTCTCTTGCACTCACCGTATTCTGCAGACCTTGCGTCTACGGATTACCGCCTTCTTCGACCACTGGCTTAATAGTGAAATCTCGAAGTACAGAAGGATGAATTTTTCAGTAAAGCCTTTGACCTAGCAAAATTTTCCGGGTTAGAATAGTGCAAGGATGAAGGTAAATAGTGTAACATAACGTGATCAAATGCTTCTACTATCTTCAACGATATTAATGCTAATCATGGGCTGTTCCTCGTTGCAGGTCCGCGCCAGGGCTCCACTCTAGAGGTCCTCCGCCTACGGTCATGCTGGGAGTTGACCAACCACGGCGTCCTCAATATCGTGCATTCTCTTCCGGCTCTCACAGATCTTTCGCTGTCGGGATGTACCAAAATTACTGATGATGGCGTCGAACTTCTCGCCGAGAACCTCCGCAGTCTGCGCGTGCTAGACCTTTCATGGTTCGTACCTCGACACTTAAAATACTATTTGTAGATAAATATAAAAGTAAATCGATTTAAGTTTAAGGCTAGTTTGTAGTAACTGCAAGCCAAGTAACAATATCGGAATAATGGGCAATAAATGAAGATACAATAAAAGTATGTAAGTGATGATAACAAAACGTCGTTGTATTGAGAATTTATGTGCTACATAAATACTGCAATACTATATATATATATGTAACTGCAAAAATAACAGAAGTGAAAAAAAGGGGCGTGAATTTCAAAAATCTCCCACCGAAAGCTTCATCTCTGCTGCATTTTAGCGACGGCATCTCTTCGTACGGGCATATACCCACCTTTGTCTAATATTGTAATGATTTTTTGTTATTGCTAACTGCTACCCATTGACTTTGCTTTCTAGACCATTAGGGCCGAGGCCGGCTTCAGCAGGAAAAAAATCGACTCGAGTGAATTTATCATACGGTCCTTTTTTAGGCATCGCAAAAAGTGCTATAGTTTTCATCTTTGACAGAATGCTAATGAAGAATAGCGGTTGCAGCTTCGATATGCACAGCCAATTTCGACGTCGTCTACAAGTTCCATAGATTTTACGAACGTTATAACGTGATTCTGGTCAATTAAGTTAAATACAATAGACGAAGTTACTTTAAACTGTTCGACAAATCCACCTGTTTGTTTGTTTGTTTGTCCCATCTAAATCGACAGGTGTCCTCGAGTAACAGACGCATCACTAGAATTTATTGCCTGCGATATGAATGCCTTGCGGAGCCTCACACTTGATAGGTGAGTTCCTGCTTCTGAGGGTGATGCATGGTTTTTTTGACCTACGGCTACTCGGCTAGGCTCATAAATCTTGTTTTATGTTGCGAGCAACGAAACCCCAAAGACTATATTGGTATGTGATGTGTCCTGTATTTCTCTGCCTTGTCACATGGTGCATATGTTATTATAGAAAATTAGGCCCAGGGGGTCCGAAGTGTATAATAGGAAGAAGAAGAAAAAAAAGGCTTCATTTTACATCAGAATGTTTAAATTCGATTCGTGACTTTTGGTCACATTCAATGCTTCGAGCTGTCAAAATAATATTTCTTAAATATGTTGCCTTTAGTAAAGGCGACCACCGTCAGTTGCATTAATAGAACTAGTATTATTAATTAAGCATCACTTCCAGAAAATTCGACTAGGTAAGATGACGATAGATGTGCCTAATAGAACCTATACATGTGATTTTCTAGGTGTGTGCATGTAACTGACATTGGATTGGGCTATTTGTCGACTATGGCAAACCTATCAGCGCTGCATTTACGATGGTGTTCGCAAATCTCCGACTTTGGTCTTGCGCACCTCGGAACCATGAAAGCCCTGCGCGTTCTTTCGCTTGCCGGTAGCAAACAATTTTCTTGTCTATCAAAACAAAAACTTTTCTAATGAAAACACTATCGTAAGATAATATCGAAAACACTATGTGGCTTGAGGATATAAAAGTAATGACCAAATGGAAATGATATACGAGGTGGTCGTGAAGTTGACAATCGCATTCAGATGGTACATTCAGCTAATTAAAACGGCCGACTCAATGTTCTGCCGTATGAACTTTCTGTCGAGAATGATCGCTCCCTGTATCGAAATCCTAGTCCCTCCCTGCGTTGTAAATTCTAACTGGCTTTCTAATGTGGTCTGCTCTGACGCTATAGGTTGCCACCAGTTGACATCGTCGGGTCTCTCCTCGTTGTGTGCATTGCGTCAGCTTGAGCTACTCGAGTTAACCAATTCTGCAGGGGCATCGACGCAGCTCATTGAATATCTACAACAGCATCTGACAGGATGTATTGTAATAAAGTGATTAGAAAATCACGAGCGGGACACAAAAGAACAATAGCTTATGATCTTCCTAAGTAGAGGGAAAAGCTTTCGTTGTAAAGGTCATATAGCTGGCAAGAAGGCGCCAAAAATGAAAACAATGGTGTTGTCTGCAAGTGAAAACATCAAGAAAAATATTTTTTTACAGGGCATCTTTTATCGTACCAGGAACGGGCTAAAAAGAATGACTATAGCCGGTCACATAAATTGCCTGGCTATCTGTTTCAAGCCCAAATAAATGTAACAGAGGCGTTAGTCAGATTGTGTCCAAGGAAAAAATACATACATGTAATACAGTTCTATTATCGATTACCGACACTGTTTGACATGCCATTTCGTGTGGGCACGTGGAAGAGATTTGTCTTCGATTTCAGGGACAACTAAATTCGTCTCATCAAGTTACAATAATGCCGTATTTGCGGCACTCAAGAGTTATACAATATATATATATATATATATATATATATATATAGATCCGGGCTGGCGCCGGTCCTTGTAATATCACTGCAGTGTACAAACAATATCTAGCAAATAATATATACAAAATGGTGGATATATATATATATATATAATATGTGCATCATAGGTAGCATTTAGAAAACTTCTGCGAATTTCTTCGGATTTTTTTTTGACAAATGAGCCGTCAGTTATCGCTTTTATCAATAGTGCTTCTTTACGATGGGAAAGATCAATTTTTGAAGATCACATTTATGATCGGTTAGCAGCTGGATAACACACGAGTTGGAGCCAATAGTGGATCATTTACCTGAGCAATGAAATTAATGACTGCTTTGACGATTGTTTTTTTTCCGAGTACTACCATTTGCTCATACATGTTCTAAATTGAACGTCGCTAAATTAATAATCAGACATCCTGAGTGTGAAATATTCTGCCAGCCACACTCCAATTACTGTCATAGCTTGTTATCAAGACGTGAAATCAAAGTGGCCAGTCCAGCTGAAGTTAATACAACCTGAAACCTTCATGATCGGCCTTCAGTAATAATCGAAATTCAATCGACAGGTTGACGGCTCGAATGCAGATCACCGAGGTTTTTGAAAAAGTAACGGGGTGATACTGCGCTCGACATTAAAAATGCCACTAGAAAAGATCTGAATGTAGACTAATCGAAAGTTCCCGCCAAAGATGGCGAATTCGCTTAAGTTAGAAACACTTCCAGCTAGTTCAGCAGTTATAATCATGTCAAAATTGCATGTTCAGCTAAAAACATATATATATATATATATATACATGTTTGTATAATTTTTTTAGCTCGTAACACAGTGCAGTTAGCAACATTAAGTTCATGACAATTTACTTTCTAGTCGATCTACGCGTAAAATCATGAACTTACGAGATGCCAAGTTGAACATTCGAAAACAAAGCCAATGAACGTGAGTCAAGCACGAATTCGCATTAAAATTATGTAAAACCTGTATGCCGTATGCTGTTTGGAGCTATTATATTTCTAATGAACTAGAAATTTCTAGCATAGTACGCAGTGAACCTCGTAGTTGTCCTGGCTATTTGTTTTTCTATCCCACAATCCGTAGATAGCGGAACACAAGTATCATTTCAACTCGTGTTGCCTACATATATATATATGTATGTACACGTCAAAAATGTTCAGAAAAAGAGCAGGCAATATGAAAACTCTTTTTGATTCGAAACAAAGCATTATTGAAATTGCTTTAAGGCTCTCTTGATGGCACACCAATGGGCCCCCATAACATACCAAGTTTTGACCCTGCCTCCGGAAATCACATTTTTTTAATTTTCGAAAAAGGAAGTTTAAACATTGTTGTATCAGAACGACAATAGCTACGATCGACATCAACTATGGTGTAATTATTTTGAGTCTACGACTAGCCTCAAAAGACTAGGTATGGAACATGCACAATTCGGGAAAATCCAAATTAAACAGTCGCAGTATAATTTTGCTCAGAAAAGCTGATAATATCTTTGATAAACTATTCTCTATGCCGTCATGCTTTCCATTTCGTCAGCGTCGTTGAACTTTTTGAAAATTGTCGCAATATTTTGAGCTTGTGATGACTTGGTATGTTGAATCAAATAGATTCCTTAAGGACGATGCAGTAGATATGTGTAAGATAACCAGGATTGCTTTTTCAGGCCTATGGAAAACTACGATATCACAGAGTATCCAGCATCATTTATCTATGAGTGCACAGCGGACTTAATACCATGTTCTCTAATATGTAGCATTTGTTGCGAAAAAAATATCCAGTCGCTCGAGTCGATCATTGCTCGTTGTAAGATAGGAATAGAGCAGTTACTACTGACAGTAATTACTTCCGTCAACTTACGTGACGCTAAAACAAAAATGCGCCACCTTATCACGACTAGCACTATTTGATGGTAGAGGATGTATTTGCTACTACAACGCAAGGTTATTCTTTCTGGGCCTCGAAGACCCAAGACTCAATACACAGACGAAATGCTATGTACAAGCGACAGCTGACAGTATTTCTTTGCATCACAGATCATTCGTTTTAGGCGTCTTTATGTTTGCTAAAGCAAAGGCTTCACAATGATCTGCGGAAATGAAAGAAACAAAGCGTCCAATAGTAATGAAGAAAAAAAGTCAAAAGGACACGAGCTATAGAGCCGTCTGCTAGGCAGACGCCTGTCATGTTTGATGGCGAGGCCCAATGTTTTTAGCTTAAGGCAAGAGCAGTTCTTCGAGTCGAATAATCACAATATATTAATAATGATCATTACTATACTCGTGATGATGATAGCGACGATAATGTTTGACGAACTATACTGTACCATTGTAATATAACATTGTATTCTGCCGTATTGCACCCACGATACCAACAACAACAATAACAACAACAGAATCAGGGCGCAACAATATAATACTGATGCTGATGCAAACAACGAGGATTGTAATTGTATTGTACCTGAATTTAATAGGGCTGTGGGAAAGGGCCCTGCACACCCTCTGAACGTGTACGTGGCACACGTACACACAATTTCACGCACATATACATAGCACTCCACGTAAAAACTAGCAATCAGTTGTGCAAACAAAAGAACGTTTTCCTAATGAGATCGAACACAATTCTAGTATTTCTGATTTGAGTTATCCATATAATATATATAAAATAAAAAATAATTGTTTATCGCGTCTTTTCCGTTCACCGAAATCTAAAGACACAACGAAACTGCAACACGCGAGCATCTCAAACGGTACCTTGGTATTACAGTTGGAAAATAGCTATTACGAGTGTAAAACATTGTCAAATTACAGTATAAGATGATAACCAGCGAGCGATATCACTGATAATTCTGCGCTAATCTGTTTTGTACTTACCGAAATTTGTTGCAAGTGAACGTAGAAGAGAGGCGAACAAACGCACAAATAGAAATGGACACGTGACTCCTGTAAGATGGGGGTCAGCATAAGTGAAAAATACCATAATAACAGGTAACGGCAACTAACAACAAACATAGAAGTGTTTGTTCAGGTTAGCTGCTCTTCAGTAGAAGTGCTAACGTTTCCAATTCAGTTAGACAACGATTTCGTTCGTTTATAGCGAAAAGATCGACATTGAACTCGCTGTTGCAAGAATCTCCTGCACTATGTCATTTTTATGCTTGTATACTCGTACTAATCTTACTACCATTCATAGCTGACTATAATTTACCGGCTTCCACACAATGATTGTTGACGTTCCGACGACACAACAAATAACAGCGAAACTCGCATCATTATTATTATTATTAGCACGCGCGTGCATGTGGTATAAGCTAACGACAAGCTTGATCGAGTCACTGATCAATCAACGAGGATATTGGAAAATTCACAATTTGTACAAGATAGAGTGGAACATTTGTAGCGATCCGTAATATAATTGACTGATGAATGAATTACGTGACGGTATGGTATGAAGAGAGATTACGGCCATAGAAGCTGTATAGGCAAAAGGCAGACGTTCGACGACCAAATGCATTCATTCACCCGTATCTCGTACAGCAGCTGCCTATGCTGATCGACGAAGATCTACTAGACCACGTGCTACGAGCAGTACCCAGCGAACTTACATGCCAGATACGTTAAATACATATATATATATATATATATATATATATATAAGAAGTTTTGACATTTATCAAGAAGATTATCACACTAGCCGTAACGATCCAGTCTAGCCCATCAAAATCGGAAGAGTTCTTTGTCCTGTTTTCAGCTATAGGGGAGTATAGGGATGTACGAACTAATCCGTACGTAGTGCAACTTGGCTTCACTATGCAATCACGAAGGATACTACGAAACTGACCAAGTCTTATTGTGGCAGACTATGCGAATTCGCTTGCACTTCATCTACAATAGAGACGGAGGTGTGGCCCACAAGTCAGAGAGAAAAACCCAGACCAGTGTATTTTGTAGGAGATAAGCTTTATAGCCAAGTAGTGCAGGGGTGACCATGCTATTGAGTACGAAGTGTTGTCCGCCAGACTTTTTGGCCTTCCGATTTATTTTTCTCGATGGACATCGAGATCCGTTTTAAAACAACTCGGCTTCCAAGAACTTCCCAAAAGCTAGATGGTGTTTCATTCATTGCGTTTTATTTAGGATACATTAGAATTTTGGCACAGAAGGTCGCCAGAGTTTTAATGCACTAGCGGGGCGGATCAGGCGCTTGTGGCCTAAAATCACGTCGTATAGGATACATGTGAGCGCGCGCAGGGAAATGCTTGTCAATAATAATAAATACTCTGTAAATAGCAAATAGATAACTGAATTATATATTTCTGGGAGAGAATACCTTTTTTCAATGGGTATTTTTCTATTAGCTTTGTTTTGTATCAGATGTGCCTCTAGATATAAGTTGAAAACATAGATATCCATCGCCGTGCACATGCCAGTTTCTAACAGAGTACTCGTGTAAGCGTGGCACTGCTAATTAGCTTCACGGTAAATTTAAGCCGTTCTGCTTCTGACTGAGCAGAATTCGATTCGCAGGAGGTAATAAACAAATTACTGTTTGTTCGTTTCGATGAGAACAGTTTGTGCTTTTGTATTTTTCAAGTAAACACGCCATTTTGTCCTCTGAATATTGTCTCATATAGGGGCTATGGTTCTTTTATGGTCTAATTTTAGTAAAAACATACTGTAAACGTTTTCTTTTGTAGCATATTTTCGGAGTGGATCCATATGGCATGTGAGGCATAATACGAGACCTGCGTAATTCTGTTTACGCGTTTACCAGACAAAGTACGTTGACGCAGAGAGCCTGCGTTATTGGTTTTTATTAGATCGTTCTTAAATTGCTTCGTTGCTGGAAAGTGCCCTCCAAGCAGTACCTTTTCGAAGCAAAATGCAGATTAGTTGTACCAGTACCAAATAAGTCTAACTACCTTCTGCAAATCGAAAAGCCTCGTTTTCAGTTTGAAGCATAGCCATCTAAATAAAAAATATTATGTAAATATACATAATCATAACAGCTGCCTATCGAACTCGACCAGGTATTACGACCAACGACAACTGCGTCGCATGCCGTCTTTCTTCGCCTTTTTCCACGATGAAAAGTGTTTAATTCCTAGAGACGACTATGAAGCTCTGCCATAAATGACATAATATTTATGTAAGGAAATTGATCTAGGCGTATAAAAGAATAGCAATAAACACTTTGATGAATTTTATGATAAAGGAAATCAATGCCTCCACGTCCTCCGAGTCCATCTTGTTATTATTCCGTAAGCTATCAATATCGATCTGCTTCATTATAATGCTTTAGCTGTAATGTCGTCAACGCCTCACAGAAACTTATCTCAACTATTCCATCGCGATTCTGGATTCTTATGAATCCACTTATTAAAATATTAGAGCAGTTTTTTGTAATAAGGTTATTTGTAAATTTATTTCCTTTTTGTTGTTCATATTTTACCTTGTGGAACCTTTTTAAGCAGGCTTATATAGACACAATATATATCTTGCAGTGTTAAAGCAGCACAAGGTGATTTCTGTAGTAATATTATTACTTGCCTTCGGTTTGGGTATATAGCAATTTGTGTAAGTAATAGAAAAAAGGCTTAGAGAGAAAAAGATAACCCTGTGGGGTATAGAAGTTCAGATAACTGCTTCGTCTGAAAGTCATAATAACAGGCGATCCATACATGAAAACTAACGCCTCTGCGGCGGTGTTCTCCGCTAACAGCAAGTAGAATGAGCATGAAATGTTTATGAGTAAGCATGATGGAAGTGGTCGCCTCTCGATCGAGCAGGACGTGCAGAACGCCCAAGAAATAAAATTCTGACCCACAATTTTTAGTCATGTGGGACGGCTTTACGAACTAAACGTCGTTTTCTCCGTTTGGAACCGGTGGAACTTTTGCACCAGATACTGTGCCAACATCTGATAGAACATCGCTACCAAGTGTAGTATCTCAAGGAAGACCCTGTCAGTTTACTATCACATTTCGTAAAGTTATACTTTGAGATTTGCCTCTGATAGATGACACCCCTCCTGTGGAAAGCTTGTCACTAGTAAGCGGTACACCCGTACCTGATAACATCTTTCTAGCTCAGCCAGATAGCCTATGTCCCCACAGGTAACTGGTATTCAACAAGCGGCGCACTCGACTAGGTGAAGTATTGCTCGAAAGATAACTTTCTCTATTCACACAAACACTTTAATCTAGATTTTTGTTTCTTGGCTACCCTCTATGTGCCTGGAGTACCTCATAGCTTCCGCTGCTGAAATCTTTTAAACTTCCCTGTTACCAAAGAAGGCGTGAGATGGATACGCTTGGCCTCGTTTATACCTCCAAGCTTTTCTCCGGACTGTTTCTCCGGACTTCTCCTCCTACAGGAGACTTCTCTCTTCCAAACTAGCGATCTTTGGCGGTCTCCTCTAATGCTAGCCTAAATGTCCATCTAGGCTAAGAGGAATATTTGCCCTTAGCCTAATAGCTAGACAAAAAGGACCACCCATCTTAAAGGTCCGCTAATTTACTGAAATGTTAATGTGTGATATATTTCTTAAGCAGTCACGATAGCTTTCATGGGTTCTGCAACGGGATTGCGCTGCATCCCAATACTGTTTAGGTTTGGACGCCTTGTCTATTAGTCCAAAACAATGATTTACTTTTTTCTAATCACAACGACTTAGACTAACTCACTATTTTTCTAACACATACAGCTTCTATAGAGTGTTATAAGATGGGACAGAAGCTAGCGGGCTGTTTATTGTAACGGGTACCCGTTAAGCCATTATTTTTGGTACAGTCAGATAAAAGTCACTCTCTTGTTATGATAGAAACAGAAATTTCGTTCTCGTAATATAAGCGAGCACAAAGCGTTATTCCATGCGTCTGACGAACCCTCACCAAAATTATATAAATTTATGAAACTGTTTGTCGATAGCGTTGGCGGTCATTATAGGCCTTGCGAACAAGTCGGCAGAGCTTTGCATATGTTAATATGGAAAACCCATAATAACATTCGACTATAAGGATCGAAAAAGGGCATAGAAAAACACTTCTGATGGTCTCGGATTGTTTTATACAGATGCCAAAGGCTTCCTTTGAGGTAAGATTGTCTTCCGCCATTCTTCGCGCCTCTTGGACGCTTCTGCATTTTTTGGACCTTTGTATTTAGTCCTGCTGGCAGTTCAAAATTGAAATCCACCGCGGCTAACCGGTAACGTGCCTTAGCGAGATCTCAGCGATTCTGTACCAAATAATGCCGGTTCACTTATGGTTAGTGCGAAAAGTTATTTGTGAATTCTGTATGTCAATAGTTTAGGCCTTAACTAAAGCCTTAATCGTAACGAGTAACGGTTTAATAAATAAGCAGATCCATCAGGGATGTTTTCGCTAACATATGCAAAAATGCTGTCTAAATATGTTATTTTTAAACGCAACTTACTTATAGACGAGCGACGTCACTCCCTTCGATAGCTAGTGCATTGTAGGCCGGCAAGATGTTGTAGGACAGATGCCTCATCTATGTACTCTTTTTGTAAACGACAATAAAAAATTATTTGATTTGTGTGATACTCAGTTTCGCCACATCTTCACCAATAGGGTAATAGATTTCGGTAAATGTTTCCTACTGACTATATTTAACAGTGGTGGTATTCATCTAATTTAGGGTCCGTTTTCGAGATCGTCCCTCTCGTGGAATTTTATTTATTATTTGTCAGGGATTGTAGCGGTAAAGGTGGGCTGTCTTCTGGTGATTTGTTCTCTTGAATCTGAATGAGTTGCTTGACAAGTGGCAAGGGCTCAGTACTGGTGTTAATGCAAAGAAAAATACAAAAACCCAAATAATTTGCTTCTACATTTAAACGTACGGCAACAACACTGCACCCTTATTAACACCGACAGTGTCGAAAAATACAACATATTCGCGGTCGCCATTGTTAAGCAGCATTATGATGACATGAGCATTGCACGTACGTTTCAATATGTTCTGCGGCTTAGTGGAGTAACTACTCTTGTTGTAGTTTGTTGTTGTTCTAACAACAAATAGATGTGACACCAGCTAATATACATAAACGAATTTATGGATTTTCTGTTCACGTTCGCTGTTACTACTACTATAGGAAACTGGTGGTACAGCGTGGTGGACGCTATTAACAGGGCCAGTTGTACGGGCCGAGGTAACGTAGGTTTTTGTAAGGGTTGCTTTGCAAAAGTATTTCTTCTGACTAAAGGGCATCCTTTTTTTGCATTGTACGCTACAAACGACGGATTAGAAACACGATGACCATGGTCCGTCGTGTTGTCCTAGGGACCGTCTTACCAAATTGATACAAAGATTCTATGCGAATATACATGGGTGTAATAATCAAACGAAAAACGCACCAGCAAAGGTTGGCATACTCTGTTGGTAAATGGTATTTAAAACAGCTATCGTCTGTTTGTTTACTGGGTACGCGGGCTCGAGAGGATTCTCTTTAGAGTCCTATTTATTAGGTTTGAAAGCAATTTCTCGCACTGAAAGAACTGTATTCATACATTTTTCCTTACATTTCTTATTCACATAATACCGTTCGAAAATGCTCTTCCTTTTCTGTTTCAATTTCGAATCAACAAAATTCTTTAAAGATGAATATTCCAAACAGGAGAAATGTCTTTTCAG